AATTTTTTCTATAAATTCAAAATTTATTGAAATTGTTCTTCCGGGATCCCTGGGTGGCGCAGCGGTTTAGCGCCTGCCTTTGGCCCAGGGCGCGATCCTGGAGACCCGGGATCGAATCCCACGTCGGGCTCCCGGTGCATGGAGCCTGCTTCTCCCTCTGCCTGTGTCTCTGCCTCTCTCTCTCTCTCTCTGTGTGTGTGACTATCATAAATAAATAAAAATTAAAAAAAAAAGAAATTGTTCTTCCTAAATCACATACTATAGCAAATCACTGTTTTGATCTTCTTTGAAATTTTTTTCAAGGATCAGTAAGCCATAAAATAGAGAGTATATTTGGATTTCAGTTTGTTTTCATGTAAATTAATCTGCATTTTCTGTGAAGTTACAATAATGTCCTTTTTGATTCGCAAATTTGCAAATTGCTGAGTATTTTAGCAATTTTGTAATCTAAGAAGTTTAAATTTTTTTTTTTTTATTTATGATAGTCATACAGAGAGAGAGAGAGAGGCAAAGACATAGGCAGAGGGAGAAGCAGGCTCCATGCACCGGGAGCCCGACGTGGGATTCGATCCCGGGTCTCCAGGATCACGCCCTGGGCCAAAGGCAGGCGCCAAATCGCTGCGCCACCCAGGGATCCCCCCATAATCTAAGAAGTTTAGATTGAGCACTTCCTATTTTATTATGCTCAACTGTTTTAGGTTAAATTGCCTTAAGCCACTTTTCAATCCATGGTGCCAAGCCAATTTAAATTTGTTGTGTATGAAAAGTCACTTTGTGAGCAGCTACCCCAATGCCATTAAATTTCAATTTGTGTGTTATTTTAACTAATTCTGCAGGTCTAAACAGATTCCTCAAAAGTTACAAGAAAAGGAAAGTAATCAATGGTTTGTTTTTGTTAATCCTAAATTATACTTCTGTGAGGTGTGAACACCAACTAGTATGATTGATGAAACATAGTGTTCAGAATTTGCATAAAACACATCTATTTTAAAAATGCTTCCATTGTTTAGAACATTTCTAGAACTCTTCTTTGACAATTGTCTTTAGAGCCTGAAGTACACTTGAAAAGAGATGGTCTCTGGTGGCAGATCTTTGATTTAATTAATAACCCAATGTAACATGGGTTTGATTAATTACCCAATGGAGCTTGGGTTGGGGCTAGTGATGTATAAGATGAAAATTAATATTTAGTATCTGTGTTAGATGCTTGACTTGGGGTGGCCAATGAATCTGGATAAACTCATTTTAGGTCAAAGACAAAGTGTATTATAGAATATGGACCAATGCCATGGATGACTTTCCCACTGGAGGCAATGCAGCACGGTAGGAAGGTACCTGTATTTAGTAAGGCTGACAGGCTTGAATCCTCATCTTGACACTTTCCACCCACTCTCATCACTTGGCCTGAGTTGAGTCACTTAGACTGAGACTTGTTTTGTAAAAGAAGCAAAAACGTCAATAAAATTTCAAGAATGAAATCTTTAAAAATATAAAATACTTAGCCCCATTCCTTCTTCTAAAGGTGACAACTGTGAGGGGAAAATACTCGTTAGGAGGAAAGTGGTCTAGAATTTTTTTCACTGAATTTTATTATTTTATGGTTGCCTTTTCCTATTTTCTCATCAGATATTAATTCCAAGGTTATTTGTTACTTTTCTACTTGGGGCAAAAATCTGCCTGGCATTTTGATGTCTTGAGGCTAAGGGGCTATGTGCATGTGTGAGTCACCTAGTTGTGGGATGGGATGATAGAGGTGGTTGTGAAAGATGAAGCTGAACATATAAGGTGAGACCAAATTATAGAGGGCTTTGAATGACATATTAAAGGTTGAGACATTATCCAATATAGAAAGTGGCTACTAAAAGCTTTGGAGCAGAGAAAAAAAATAATTTTTGTCTGTGCTCTGGGAAGATAATTGACATGCTAGACAAAATTTCCTGACAGCAGGGTCTGTTTCTTACTTATCAGCACATCCTTTACTCTTCTTTATACCAGTGAAAAGAAAAACGAATGGCTGGATGGGAGGATGGGAGTGGGAATCAGAACACAGCGGGGAGACCATGATGGGATGGAAGAAAATGTCACAGAGTTACTGTAGACACAGCGACTGGCTGAGTGTCAGAGCGGAGGAAGATGGGGGAGACTTGAAAAGAACCCCGAGGCAGCTGGCTTAGATGACAGCTCAGGGTGGGTGGCCGGGTGGTTGCCATTAACAGAAATAGAAAACACAGAGTGAGAAACCAATTTTGAAAATTAGAGGAAACAACGAGTCTGATTTTAGTTCAGTGAGTTTGTAATTGAGGTAGAAATGTCCAATGGGCAAATGAAAACACAGGTCTGGGTTGAGTAGAGATCAAGACTAAAGGTAAAAGATTTGTTTATGGAGTCACATCCATAAAGGTGTTAGCTGACGGAATCCCTGGGTGGCGCAGCGGTTTGGCGTCTGCCTTTGGCCCAGGGCGCGATCTTGGAGACCTGGGATCAAATCCCATGTCGGGCTCCCGGTGCATGGAGCCTGCTTCTCCCTCTGCCTCTCTCTCTCTCTGTGTGTGACTATCATAAATAAATAAAAATTAAAAAAAAAAGAAATATAAACATTTAAAAAAAAACAGAAAAAAAAAGGTGTTAGCTGATGTCTTGGGAACAGATGAAATGATCCTTGGAGAATTTGATCAAGACCTGCCAATTACAGGAGCACCGAGGATAGTAACATTATGGCTGTAGGAGGGGGATCAGGAAAAGGTCACAGGAAAAATGGGCGCTGAAATACCACGAGAAGGCAATGTCATGGAGCCTAAAGAGAGAAGGGCCCAGGAGAAGGGACAAGCGCAATAAGGTCTGAGAGGCACCAGTGGGTTTGCCTGTAGGAGACCATGGTGAGCTCTTTGACAGCTGCTGCCACGGGGAGGATCGGAGCCGATTATAGTGATAGGTCACATCACTGGGATGGTGGGATGTTGGAGACAGAAGTGCTTCCTCTTCCATCTTCAACCATTTCTTGTTAGTCTCTTTAGAAGACTCTTTTCTCTGCTGCCCCAGTAAATGTTGATGTTACCTAGCACTCTGTCCTTGGCTCTATGCTTATAACAGTTAGGGTTCTCTTGGTTTCAAATAACAGAAAGCAACTCCAGCTGGCTTGAGCAGAAAGATTTATTGGAAGGATTCAGGGTTACCTCATAGGACCCAAAGGGTTATGAACTGGGCTTTGCCTACATGCTTTAACCAGAAAGCAACTACCATAGGGTTTCTCAGCTTCTTTCTTGTTCTTCCCTAGCTATTACATTTTCTGCTCTCACTGCAAACCAGCTGCCTCAGTGTTCCAGGCTATGTGGTGGAAAACAGCCTGCCATTTGCTCCTGAGTCATAACTACCCACTTAGCCACACAAAGGAGCACTGCTATGTTTACTCACTCTCATTCTTGATGTCTTCCAAAGGATGGAGTTGACCAACTTGCATAGATACCCACCCTTGGACCATTCAACTGAGGGTAGACCAATAAGGTTGCACTATACAGACAGTGTCATGGGACTTGGGGATGAGGGTAGGGACTGGAACCTGGAAGTGAGAAGCTGAAAGCAAAGCTTACAGGATGAGGATTAGAATTGGGCCTAGGGGAAGTGATAAGGAGGGAAAAGTGACATGATCAGCTTCTCACCTCCCCTTTCCTTTTGGTCTTTACTCTAACAGCCTGGACCCTCCTAAGCAGTAAATCCTAGGCGTGCTTTCCATCCTAGACTAGGTACAAGTTCTTCTAAGAAAATGGAATGGCTGCCTTGCTTTTATCAACTTCCACTCCCTGTGACCAACCCTTAGTACACTTGTGAGTGTCCAGTGGCCATGTCTATACCCTAGGTGAACCAGAGTTGACTGATCCAGAGTCCAACTACAGCCTCTTTCTGGGGTCTTTGGACTTGGAACTGAACAGATTATGCACCAATTCCTTTTTGGAACCACGTGAAGCTGATGGTGACTATGGCACATAGGTGGGGTCTGGAGGTACTTGCACTGCTAATTATCTTGAAACTCAGCTGTTTCACTATCTTCCTTATGTTAGACTCCATAAGCTAGCCCAGTATTTTCTAGTAAGTTCCCTTTTCATCTAAGCTCATTGGGGTAGATTTCTGTCATTGAGACTGAAAAAAGTCTGGACTAATCCAGGGTCAAGGGAGTTGCCCGATAGCTATTCCCAGCCTGGCCTCTTGCCTTCCACGTCAACTGGAGAAAGTGAATCCTCTCTTTCTCTTGTCATGTTTCCCGGGAGAAATGAGGTCCAAATAGTGACCACACTTCAAGGTTTTGGCATTCTGGCAATTTCTGAAATACTGCCACTTTGTTGAAGGCTTACTCTAATTTTGATATTTTAAAAAAATCTAAAATCAGTATCACTTATATATTGAGATGAAGACCAATGACTCAACATTTAAGTTATGATGAAAACACTGCCTGAACAAAACTCTACCCAAAGTCAAAAAGGGCTTTCCATCAGCTGAAAAAATCTGTACTAAACTACACAGGATACCTTGGATCTACTTTGTTTTTCAAATATTTCATTTGTACTTCTCAATGATTTTTAGTTTTCTTCACTTTTGATGTTTAGTTTGCTAATTTTTGAACATGATTTTTTTTTTGAACATGATTTTTTAAACAATCTTTTTTTATTTTGGAATACTTTTAGATTTACAGAAAAATTGTGAAGATAGTACTTATTATTAACTAAAGTTCATTCTTCATTAGTGTTTACCTAATGTCCTTTTTTCTATTCCAAGAATATCAAGTTATATTGTTGTATCTCCCTAGGCTCCTTTGATTCCTAAGTTTAAGACCTTATTTTTAAGTCTGTCAATTTAGTTTGTGTTAGAATGATGCCTGTTCCATGTTTCTATTTTACAGATGTGTATTTTTGCTTGATCTTTCAATGTTTACTACTTTTAAAATTTGAATTATATTAGACGTTTTCCTAATGTTAATGTTAATGATTTCTGAACACTTGGAGACAAGCTATTGGCATTGATACCAGCATTTATTTAAACTAAGCGCTGAAGGTCCAGTGTCACAGTGTTTATTTTGGTACAGCAATTACCAGGTCCCACCTGTGGACGGAGGGGCAAAGGGTGGAGAATGTGAACCAGATGGCTAAGGCTTTTGGTGTAGGTGAAGCCACCCAGAACCAGGAAGTGTGCAGCAGGGCACAGTTGGTTAACCATAGGAACCCCAGGCCCAAGCCATCTGAAAGGGCTCTGCCAATAAATCTTTTGCTCCCAATATCCTTCCTTACTGCACTCTGTTCTTCCTCTGTCTACAGCTGGAGAAGACTTAACTTGTGTCAGCCAAATCTGTGTGGGTTTCTCTTTTTCTTTTTTTTAATCTTATACAGCAAGTACCCTAGGGCCATTTTTCCATGATGATTTTGACACTGGGTACATTATCTTAGAGAAATCATAAGTCCTGTTTTCCCAATGCTTTTTTGCTCATTGCTTGGAACATTATAAGTCCTCAGGACACACAGGTGTTATCACTTGTTCAAACAAAGTTGAACACAAGAAGGAAACTGGTACCATTGGCAGGAAAAAGTGACCTCTTTCCGGACAGTAGGAACCAATGAGAATCAGAGGACCAGCAGGTGAGATGGTGAGGACCAGTGAGCGGAGCCTCCCAGCCTGCAGTGTGAGTGGGTGTGATGGGGGCCAGCCCCAGGGGCAGTAATACAAGACTACCTGTAATGACCACCTCTAGGATTCTGAGATGCAAGTAATAGCAGCATCTGAAAACCACAATGGAGAGTTTAATCACAAGTACGCAGCATTATTACATCACTAGCAGAACAGAGTTTGACATTTAAATATACATTACAATCTACTTGTCTCCCCAGAAGTTGCCAAAACCGGCTTACAATAGTTAGGCTTCATTTTGTCCATGGTTCATGGCATATTCAAAGTCTTTAAAGCTGACAAGACCATCTGAGTCTTGATCTACTTCCCTGGAAAATGAAAGAAAAAGTTATTTAGTTATTTACAGATTATTTTTGTCACACTTATGCATCAAGAGCACTCCACAATCTTTGTTTCTTTGCATGTCTACAAGTAAGAGGCACCTACTGGAAGGTGAATTTGATGCCTATTTTTTTTCTTACATTGATAAATGCCTAACGTGGGAAGGAAGGAAAAGGTATATTTAAACCTACAAAAATAATATATTTGATATTCTTAAAGGAATGAAGTCAAATGCACAGGCTTTTAAAGAAAAGCAGAAATGATTGTTTTTCTAGTCATTTTGTGCATTCTTTCTGTATCAACAAATATATATGCGTTACAAAACAGAAATGTGGACTAAACCAATGAGGGGTAAGAAAAACGTTTTGGGAATAAAGAGCAATGATGGGAACAATTATCGACACCTGTGTTGCACTGTCCTTACATCCCTCATCTCATCGAATCTCTGCATGATGCTGTGATGGGTCCACCTTACGGAGACACTAAGTTGAAAGTGGGACACTAATTTCACAAGATCACACTGCTGATAAGTAGCAGACTTGGAACGCAAATCAAGATCATTACATTCCCAAACCAAGGTTCTCCACGGACTCTACTGCACATTACCTCCCTACTTAAATAGAAGGGTCCAAAGAGAAGGGGGTTGTATTGCAATTTCACGTGATTAACTCTTGCTCTGGAAGTCTTTACTGGCCTCGGAAGTTCTGTGAAGTCCTCACAAACATCCAATGAGCTTTTCTGACTCCTATGAAGAGTAGTGAAGATGGGAACCTCTGGCTGGTTGGCTGAGGGTGTGGGTAGCCCCAGCTGGGTTGGCCTTTTTGTCCCTAGAACCCCGGAGACAGGAGCATTGCTCCCTTGACAGGAACAGAGAAATAGCACCCACTCCATATGGGTAAGATAACATAGGACAAAAATCACAGCATTAGAAACACATTTCAACCATTACCAGGAAGAGTAACGTTTATTTAAGAAGTGTATTTGAAAGGATAACTGATGAGTAGTGGCCACCACTCCTCTTTGGGGGGCATTCTAAAACAATGCATTACATTCCTTATGTGGAGCTCTTATGGTTGATGCAAATTACATTTTGCTGAAACAACAAATGGTATCAACCATGACATAGGGCTTTTTAAAGCAAAGACTGGCCCAAGTAACAGAGCCACTAATCACTGTAATAGTTTTAAAGCAGGCTTTTAAAATATTGAATTCTAAAATAAACTTTCTGAATATTTCATGCCAAAGTCTCTGAAGTCTATAATGGTTCTGGATAGTGATGATAATTTTTCATTCTTTTGAAGTAGAGAAAATCCCTACTTCTCTGCCCTAGGGCAAAACCATGTTGCAGTGTGTTAGTAGAAAATGACTGCAGACTGCAGAGGCCATTATTCTTGCTACTTCTTTTGGTAAAATATACATGATGATTTCATGCTATACAAGACCAAAAGCAGAATGTCAGATCTCTTCTAAGGGATTAGAAGTAATCAGTATCACATGATACTGATTATGGCCTAGAAACTGTCCCTTTTATTAAATTAGATAATTGAAGATTCTTAATATTGCCTAAGTATTTTTTTCCCAAGGAATTGGATTAGATAAGTGGCCTTTTTTCTTTCCACTATGAACTGGTATGGTTGAACTATAAATCCTAGGGGGTGGGTTAAGAGGATAACCTAGAAAAGTAATGTTTAGAATAAACTGCTTCCGGTAATATTTTCTCGGTGTGTTTGTTCGCTTACCGAGAGGCTGAATGCTTGTGGAAAAAGGGAATCCCTTTTTGTCAGTAAATAACCTTCATTGTAATTACATTCATTTATTTTTCTGGCTGTCTTTGCCAGAGCTTCCCCATCGTAAAATGGGCACAGTATAACCAAGAAGTGTCAAGATGGAAACATTTATGCATAAGGTTTGTAGTGGCATTTCATTCACATAATGAATGGAGGAGCATCGTGTTTATATTTAGAATGAGCGGTGGTAAAATACTTTCTATCTTCTGACTTTCTCTCCTCATTATGTGTGAGTGTGAGTGTGTGAGAGCAGGTCTGGTTGTCTCAAGGAGGGTGAAGCGGAAATTCACATTTCAGAGCTATAATTTTAAAAGCTGAAATACAGTGTTTTTTTTTTTTCATCGCGGGTAGGATTATTCTGAAGAAGGAAGGTTTCACAGCACCCACACTTAGAGCACAGCATGACCGGAGAGCAGATGTGGCTGGTGGCTAGAAGTGGTGAAGAAACGTCACTAGGTGCCAAGGTCACTGTTCCTGCTCACCGCATTCCACCTCAACGGGAGTCTGCTCTGGTTCTGAGAGGGCAGTGTGCTGTTTTGATGTCACCAACACACATTTAGGCATCAAAAACACTCCACCACCTCTCACCCCAGATGGAAATGAATTCGAGGAGGGTGAGAACTTTTCCTTATTTTTGGCTGTGTCTCCAACTCAGCCCAGAGCAGACGACAAATGTTTGCAGAGAGCATGAATTTGTGGAATCAATGAATCTGGAGAGGCAGCTGACAACATTGTAGAATATCTATCTACCACCTCCCAGGAGGTGCTGGGGGTCAAAGGAAGACGGCATAGGGTATGTCATCACTGCCTTTCCGGAGTCTGGAAACTAGCCAGGGAAATATTCCGCACTGGAGAAGGCACTTAGGAACCACGACTCAGGGACCCGCAAGGAATAGTCAATTATGGTCTCCAGGCCCCAAGTGCATTTTGTCAACACAGATTGGGTACAAGAGACACCATGTGAGATGAGCTCTGGCAAATGAGGCTGCAGAGCAGAACACGGGTGGCAGGAGCCCCTTAATGTCAGGCTGAACAACAACACAGAGATAAATACAGAGCAGGAAATTGGAAACTGAGGCAGATGCTACACATATTTGACTCTAATCTGCCCTGTAGCTGAAGCCCGAGCACTTTATTTTTTTTTTTAAGATTTTATTTATTTATTCATGAGAAACACACAGAGAGAGGCAGGCACACAGGCAGAGTGGGGAAGCAGGCTCTCTGCGGGGAGCCCGATGCGGGACTCGATCCCAGGACCCCTGAGCTGAAGGCAGATGCTCAACCGCTGAGCCACCAGGTGTCCCAGCCTGAGGACTTTAATCCAGCTAAGTAGCAGCGCTTCCACTGGACATGCGGCTATAGATAAAGGTAAATATATTGGTTTCTATTTCAGAACTGGCTTTTCTAAGGAATTGACAAAGCTCATATAGATGTACGAGAGGAAAATAAATGCTGTTAACAACAGTAACTGCTCTCTAGAAATGTAGGTTCAGTTAAATTTAAAGCTTTCTGGTTTGCTGGGTTGTGAGATGCGAAAGGAAGACATGAGACTGATTTGTGGAGCAGAGACTCAGGAGAGCTGAGCTGCTCTGTGTAACTCAGACCCTCGGGTGGAAGAGTATGACAAGCCAGGTGAGAGCACTGGGAGCGGAGCACAGGGTGCTCCATGAAGGGCAACGGCCCGAGTGTGATCACTCAGTGACCACTGATCACTAAGACTCAGGGGTGCGGGGAGCAGAAGGCCTTTACCTAACTGCTACGTCTACCATGTGCTTCAGAGGTGGCTGTTACTTGTTATAACCTCCCGTGTCTCCACCAAAGGGTGCGACAGGCATGTGCTCCATTGAGGATGGTGTTTGTGTGTGTGTGTGTGTGGGGGGGGGTTGTGTGTTCTGTGTTGATTGCAGAGCTGAAGACTGAGTTAGGAGAGGAGACCCACCTGAGCAGGTCCAGGAGTGAGCAAGGAAAGTGGGGGGAATGGTCAGAGGATCCATCCGCTGAATTACTGCAGAGAAATGAGAACTCAGAGCCATGGGCCTTCTGGAAATTGCAGAAAAGCTTCGAAGCGCTTTAAAATCCTCTGGGGTGTGGAATAGGCCTTCCAGGCAACGCTATTTGAACTGTGAAGTTCAGGGACACCCAGGCTGACACTGGGACATGTTGAGCATTTCAAGCAAAACTAGACTGTGTCCACTTAGCTAAGTTCTGACAGTTTTCTGTTAAAATAAAAACATTTTTCTGACTCATCTTATCAGTGGTTATAATTACTTTCATCAGCATGAGCATCAGCATTTGTCTGTGGCCCCGACTTGTTAAGCGAGATTCTGTTCTCTCCTTTTTGTGATGCTGTGTGGACTCCAACAGCTGGACTAGATGTGCTCCTGTGGCCCAGAGGCTGGCTGGTCCCCACCTGAAGGAGCCAGGGCTTCGCACAGCGCATCTGTTACTGAGGTAGGCCGTAGAGCTGCTTTGGTACTTTCTTTTTAAAGATTTTATTTATTTATTCATAGAGACACACAGAGAGAGGCAGAAACACAGGCAGAGGGAGAAGCAGGCTCCATGCAGGGAGCCCGACGCGGAACTCGATCCCAGGTCTCCAGGATCAGACCCCAGGCTGCAGGCGGCACTAAACCGCTGCACCACCGGGGCTGCCCTGCTTTGATACTTTCTGAAGAGAAATACAGTGGTTTTTCGAATTTTAAAAATATATAAATAGTGACTGTTTTTCACAAGTAGTGTTTCTTGCGGGAAAATATTTACATTATAACTATTTCTTGTAATATTCAGAAAGTACCTATTTCTTGGAAAATAGTTTTTGTAAAATAACTCAAGGGAGTCAGCCGCATGGCCAGCTCTCGCAAGCCAGATTTCAGACTGGAGTACGTGCTTTTGCCCAGGTTACTTAAAAAAATAATAATAATAATTTTTTAAAACTGAAAAAGAAGGATAGAAACAAAGAGGGGATGGTTTAATTTCATTACATTGAGACAATGGGACTATTCTCTATCAAAATGATACAGACACTATAAATGTGACATTAAGTGGAAACAAATACAAACTGGTATGTATTATAATTGCAGTCTTACAAACACCTAATTCATTTGGGCAGAAACTTCTCTTTTGGGTCCTTTTGCCTTAGTGTTTTATTAATATTAGTGCTATTTCTTAGCTATTTCTCAACTGAAGGAGTATTTTCTTTT